GCGTCGCGCAGCCCCCGTACCAGCGCTTCGCCTCGGCCCCGACCCTTGCCCACGCGCAGAGGTGAGCCAGAGCAAGGGGAAAGGTATATTATGTAAAGGGAATGAGGGGAAATTCGAAAAGTAGCTGTTGGAAGAATCTATTGAAGCTGAGAAAAGGGCATTATAACAGAATAAAATGCTTATATGTATCATTTTGTTGTATTTCCAGCGGATAAAAGAAAATGTAGTCATAAAAAAAAAAGAAAAGAAAAAAAACACTGAGAAACACATTGTCAGCGAGGACGTAAGCTTTGATAATCTTTCCCAGAAGGTGAATATAATCCTCAGATAATCTTTCGGATTTGAACAGGCTGCCTTTGTTTTTCCTGCTGGGTATGATTTTGCTGTGGGGCGTCTTCTACACGTCGGGTCTCGTGGCGTACGCTCTCTACAAGGACTGCGACCCGCTCACCTCAGGCAAGATCGAGAAGCCGGACCAGATCATCCCTTTCATGGTCACCGATAAGCTGAGCCACCTGACCGGGGTCGCCGGGCTCTTCGTGGCTGCTGTGTACGGAGGCGTCCTCAGGTGAGTCGGGAACGATGGCAGCCTTCCCTTTCTCTACTTGCTCTGACGTCATCATGGTAAATCTCTTTGACATCACTCAGGGGATATTTTCATCTCTCCCTCTCGCTCTCACTGACTCACTCACTCTCACTCACTGACATTGTGTGTGTGTGTGTGTGTGTGTGTTTAACGGCGAAGAAAACGTTTAGCTCGATGGGGTGCAGGATAGTAATTCAATGGTATTTCTAATGGCAGAAGTAAGGGTGCAGCATTAATCTTAGTTTTGATCTCTCACGAAAGTATAATAGTCACCAGATGGGTGATACGTATGTATTATATGTGTTTAGCCAATGCGAGTCGGCTGTGAGATATCAGAGATAGCTATATACATAATTAATTGTATAATTCACTCAAGATTGTGATAGTTACCAGACGTAAACCAAAATATTTCCTCTTTTATTTATGATAACGAAAAGTTCCCTAATATTAACAGCCGTCAGAATGCTCTTGGGAAAAATTCAGTTTCATTTTTGGGCTCAGTAAGACAAATGGAAGTGGAGCAACCTGGTTATATGTTCCTTGGTTTCACTGAAGATGGGAATTCAAAGCAAAAGTTGCTGTTCCCAGAACCAGATGGAAGCGGTGACCTTCTTCAGGAGGGGAGTTAGGGGCTCAGTAATGATGACAGATTTCCCAAAGATAGGGCGATGAAATCCTGAGAGACCCATAAGTGACACCGAACTAGAAAATGTACTAGGGGAATTTTTAAGACCAAAGGTTCACTTAACCCTGAAGGGAAACGACTTCAAGAGTTCATACTCTTTTGTGATGCATATATATATATATATTATATATATATATAATATATATATATATATATATATATATATATTATGTATATATATATTATATATATTGTGTGTGTGTGTGTGTGTGTGTGTGTGTGTGTGTGTGTGTGTGTGTGTGTGTGTGTGGTGTGTGTGTGTGACGCACACATATATATGTATATATTATGAATATATATGCATATATTTATATGTGTGTGTGTTCGTATGTATGTGTATGTATGTGTGTGTCCCGCGGCCCTTACCTGCAGAAGTGAGCGTAATGAAGGGACATGGTATTGATAACGACTCGTGACTACATTCCGCCGTCTGCAATCGATGAATATTCACAGAACACCCGTCTGTTCATTGGCATTGAATCCTAAGAGCTGTGAGGGAATCAGTGTGAAGGTATGTTTATGGGCACATATCCGGCCTCTTGGGCGATTCTTAGGCGGGATATTAGAGACGACATAGGATTTCCTTGACTGTCTTTGAAATCCATGGAAGAAAGTTGTAGTGACTCGCCTGGTTTTCGAACTTGGAGGTTGCTTAGCACTGAGGTCGTTCTGCATTCACGAGTAGCACGAGTGACCCCACACCAGCCACTCGGTTCCTGCGACGTAGCCGAACGAGAGCCGCTCTTTGCTTTGGTCAGGCGCAAGGCACTCCGGGTCTTGGATGCCTTATAGATCGTGGGAGAACGCATTTTTCCTTCACTCGTATATCGTTTGGTGGGACGAATGCCGTGTATTTTCGTAACAGAATTTTCCATAGCAGTACGGGTGGAAAGACCTGTCTGTGGTGACTAGGTGATTTGATGGTAAGATTGCTGTGAGAGAGGAGTGCTGGATGAGGAAAACAAGAATACCAGACATGCTAAACAAGACCCGCCACAGTACTGGTGGGTTTAGAGTAAGTGGTAAACTAGACTGAGTAGATTCAGGTCAGTTCATTGATCTTATCCTTGCAAAGGAAGGAGTAGCGTATTAAGGTCCCCTGGAAGGTAGGTATCTTCTTTGAACAAGAAACATGCATCCCCCATATTCTCTCTCTCTCTCTCTCTCTCTCTCTCTCCTCATCTCCCTCTCTCCTCTCTCTCTCTCTCTAGCATAGCTCTCTCTCTCTC